AAATTGCCTGCCCTACAACAACTGGCCAGCAAGCCGGGCTGGCAGTTCAACCCAATCTGCAGCCGAAACCAAAAGAAAAATTAGAGAAAACTTACCATTGGTGTATGGAATGTTCGTACCCTCATGGATCGAGAAGCTGTTGCAAGACCTGAGAGAAGGACAGCTCTCATTGCTCGAGAACTAGTCCGTTATAACATCGATATAGCGGCATTAAGTGAAACAAGATTGCCTGGGGAAGGTTTCTTGAGTGAACCAGGAGGTGGTTACACCTTCTTCTGGAAGGGTAAAACTGAGACAGAGGATAGAATACATGGAGTTGGTCTGGCAGTAAAAACCTTATTGATGCATCAACTCCCAGACCTTCCAGTGGGTATCAATGAAAGATTGCTGAAGCTGCACTTCCCACTAAATGCCAAACGTCATGTCACCATCATCAGTGCATATGCACCCACTTTAACATGCTCTGACAACTGACAAAGGAACAATTCTATGAAGATCTCGACAGACTGATCAAGGCCACACCTGTAACAGATAAACTACTCCTACTTGGAGATTTCAATGCCCGAGTCGGGGCTGACAGCAAGAACTGGAAAGGAGTAATCAGGCCACATGGTGTAGGCAAAATGAACAGTAATGAACTACTTCTTTTGAGTCTTTGTTCTGAAAATGACCTGACCATTACCAACACTCTGTTCCGACAAGCGGACAAATACAAAACAACGTGGATGCACCCTAGGTCCAAACAGTGGCATCTGATAGATTATGCCATTGTTAGAAGGCGAGACATCCGATACGTACTGATTACCAGAGTAATGCGAGGCGCAGAGTGCTGGACAGATCACAGATTAGTCAGGACTTCTCTTCAACTCTACATCGTTCCTTCTCGGCCCTAAGCATGTGCGATCTGCTTTCAACATAGCCAAACTGAAGGATGCTCCATGTTGCAACAAATTCCAGAAGAGTCTTGATGACAAACTGACATCCCACGGACAACTGATCGGTACTGTAACCGAAAAGTGGGACCAGTTCAAGCAGATAGTGACTGACACAGCAATAACATCTCTTGGACCAAAGAAAAGAACACACCA